CCTTGATCATTTTAGTTGCCCTCCTTTGGACACATTCCAGCTTGCTGAACTTCGGACATATGATAAGAAGAAGACATGATTCACTAAAAAAGACAATAATACTTGGTAAAGTAGAAGAGAGTAGGAAGGAAGCAAGGAAGTTTGCATTCCAGATGGATAGACACAACCAAGAAAGCCACAGCCAGGGGCGGCTCAACCCATTACGCAAAGTAAGCATTTGCAGTATAGTTGATTTTGCCCAGGGGTGCTCTTGAGGCGCTCTTGGGGGAAAATAGACCTTGACATATGCGAGTTGTGTAGTTCACCTACAATCAAAGAGCATTCTGAACTCCACCAATGATGGAATTGAACCAGATATGGCACACAGAACTCCCACGATGCACAGAAAATATATATCAGTGATTGGTTGGGGGGGGGGGCCCAAAATACTGTTTGCTCACCGTTGAAAATTATCTAGTGCTGCCTCTGGCCACAGCCTTGAGAGTTGTTGATGGGAAGGTGACTTGGAGGTCCCTCATTGTAAGACCACCATAAGTTGAAGCCAGTTTCATGGCAGTTAACAACAGTTTATTGAAATGAGAATTGGCTTTCCCACTGTACAACTGGCTTTCCCACTGAAGTCAAGTTTTATTTGCCAGATTTACATCAAGTTAGCAACCGTGAAGGGCTCACTTGAAGGGCATGACGTAGAAGAGTGTTAATATGCCCTTCCACACTATAGGGACCTGTCAGTCAAATCTTCCTAACTTGAAGGGAAGAAGATTGTTTCTTCACTGTCTTCCACTGCAAAAATCAGAAAGGAAAAATAGAGTTAGTAGTAGTAGATTTAGACAAAGAAAAGAAGAGAACCATTGAGAGGAAGTATTGTAATTACAAAATACATTGGATATGATAAATATTTCAGGCACTTTGGGAACTGTTTCTCTCTCTCCCTCCCTCCCTCCCTTTCTCAAAACATTACAGGATCACCGAGAGCTGTACTGCTGAACAATCTTTTTGTGCAAAAATAAAAAATAAATTAGATTTGGAATCTAATGTGGCCAGTCCACTGGTTTCAGTTTAAATCTAAGCATTTTGTTAGCATCTTCCAACGTGGTATCATAATGCAAAGGAGATAGTATAGTTATAATTTGAACTTGACTCTTTAAGTATGTCAGGAAATCTCCATTACAGATTATTAAGAGCCCCTTCTTATTTTTGTCATGGGTTTCTCTCCTCATATCATACAATTATTTCCCAGAGTGTAACTATCAAGGAAAGTGGGCACTTTAATTAAGAAGCAAGTATATGGGAAATGTTTTGACAGCTCCACTTGAATCATTCTTGCAAAACATATGCTAGTGTGCCATCGCGCCTGGGGTCTATAGATCTTAGTGAAAAAAACAATGATCGTGACATCTCTCCCCAGGGGAATGCTTCTTGCCCTCCTTTAGAGAACTGGAACTCTCAAGGATCAAGACACTATAGATAACTTGAAATAGGCTTTATTGTTCACAATGAGTTATCTTTCTTAGGGATAAACTTGATGTTTCAACAGGGGTAAAGAAAACATACATTACAGTCTCTGAAGTCTTGGGTCCAAGGAGTTTTCCAGCTGAGAAGCTTTCCAAGTTCCCTCTTTCTCAATGGCAGTGAAAGCCTGAACATTTACAACCCCAGTCCAATGTCCTATGTTTGAAGGCACAAAGTCTTCCTCTAAATGCCAGAGGACTGGTTTAAAGGTGCAAGATTCCGCAACGTCGTCTAGGTGAGCTGGATATGAAGAATGAATCTTAAGAGTGCAAACTTAAGAATTAGTGATGAGAGATGACTTAGCTGAGGGCTTTTAGAGCCAAGCCTTTCTCATGTCCATCTGCTGAGATGTTTGATGGTAGAATGAAAAGAAAGCCCTGCCCTCTTCCCCAGGAAGGGGTGGAGTCAAACGATTGAGAAGGGGGAGCAATTCAATTGGTGCAAAATAACATTGATTGACAGCTATAGGTAACCAAACAATTCAACTGTACATTCACATACAAGTGGGGCCTGACGTGCCGTCACAGCTAGAGTAGTATTTTATTTGACAGACCATCTATCTAGTTTGTAAAGAAGTCTGACTTGGCCACGGTAGTCGACGCTCAGGTTACATCCCGTTTAGACTACTGCAACGCTCTCTACGTGGGGTTGCCTTTGAAGACAGCTCGGAAGCTCCAACTAGTCCAACGCTCGGCAGCCATGATTTTAACAGGAGCGGAGCACAGGGAGCATACAACCCCCCTGTTGCGCCAACTCCACTGGCTACCGATCTGCTACCGGGCTCAATTCAAAGTGCTGGCGTTGGCCTTTAAAGCCCTAAACGGTTCCGGCCCAAGCTACCTATCCGACCGCATCTCTGCCTATGAACCCACCAGGACTTTGAGATCTTCCGGGGAGACCCTGCTCTCGATCCCGCCTGCTTCTCAAGCTCGGCTGGCGGGGACGAGACATAGGGCCTTCTCGGTGGTGGCTCCTCGGCTGTGGAACGCCTTCCTACGGACATTAGACTAGCACCATCTCTAATGGTATTCCGCAAAAAAGTGAAGACCTGGCTGTTTGAGCAGGCATTCAAATAATTAGTGCAATGATTGGTTAATGAACACTGGAATGGAACAATGGATGACGAATCTGGAACATGTTTTTGATGACGAGACGACAGTGAATGGGTATTGTAGTGACTGTTTATTAATTGTGTAATGTGTTAGGTTGTTAACTGTTTCTATACTGTAGCACTGAATTTTTGCTGTTCGTATTTGTTGTGAACTGCTGTGAGTCGCCTTCGGGCTGAGAACAGCGGTATATAAGTAAGGTAAATAAATAAATAAATAAATAAATAAATAAAGATTAACATGATGAATTACTTTTGTGAATTATAACTCCCCAAATCTCCCAACCATGGCTTTAACCTTTGTAAGTCATGACTGCAGTGACTGGTCATTCCAGGAGTTGTCATCCAAAAAAGTATCATATGAAAGCTGTGTTGTAAGGACATTTTTTTTCTAATATTTGAGTGAAGTCAGATCATCTTGTCAGGAGACGAAGTATCTTTTCAGAATCCCTTATTTAAATAATAATATGAACTAAGAATAAGTGAGCCCCATTATCTACTTGAGGGATTGTACATTAGCATATTGCCTGTGTTGATAATTGACAATTAAAAGTCAGGGCAAAACCTATCAGGATAATAGGAATTTGACAATCAATAGAAAAGCAAGATTGTGGGTGCTTCATTTTTGAGAACGAAATATCGCTGTTTTGTCTGCATAATGTCATATAAAACTTAGCAAACATTCTTTTCATACGCTCTATATTACACATTTTTACAGTGATGCAAAATAGGCAAAGCAATGTTTATTTCTGCTCTGCTTCTGGCACATTTACAGAAACACCACAATTTTATGCATTCATGGTTTCTACATAAAATAATTTAGTGGAATAATATTAGTAATGCATACACTTTATATAAAGGTCTTTTATACCTATGCTATATTCCTGTTCAAAATACTTGACTGTGATTTCTCTAGACACTTCAGACATTTCACTGCAGAAGTGATTAGACTGGATTGAAGTTGTGCATTTTATGGCTGTGTGTTTTGTGGCCACCACGGTTTTGAGTCATCTTAAAGCTGCATCGTAATGTCAGTGAGGCCTGGTGTTTATCTATTTGAATCTACATAAATAAAAATGTAATGTTCATTTGTGGGATTAACATAACTCATAAAGCACTGGACGAATTGACACCAAATTTGGACAGCATACATCTAACAACCCAATGTATGTCCTTCACTAAAAAAAAAATGATTTTGTCTTTTGGGAGTTGTAGTTGCTGGGATTTATAGTTCACCTACAATCAAATAGCATGATAGAATTGAAACAAACGGGGCATACAGGACTCCCATGACCAACAGAAAACACCAGAAGGGTTTGGTGAGCATTGACCTTGAGTTTGGGAGCTGTAGTTCACCTATATCCAGAGAGCACCATGGACTCAAACAACGATGGATCTGGACCAAACTTGGCACAAATATTCCATATGCCCAAATATGAACACAGGTGGAGTTTGGGGAAAATAGACCTTGATATTTGGGAGTTGTAGTTACTGGGATTTATAGTTCACTTACAATCAAAGAGCGTTCTGAACCCCACCAACGACAATTGGGGGAAACTTCCCACACAGAAAATCCATGACCAACAGAAAATACTCAAGGCCATGCAGTCCAACTCCCTTCACCAAGGCAAGAAAACGTAATCAAAGCCGTCCTGACAAAGAGCCATCCAGCTGTAGATATAGATAGATATGATTCACACACACACAGATATACTATCATAGATTTGAAAGGGACCCCTAAAGAAGGACATGTTGCATGTTCCAGAGTAGGCAAACCAGACAACCTCCACATCAACACCGACAAAGAAACAATAAGAAATACTGTTTACCCACAAGCATAAAGAAATTACGTATATTAGAAACCAACGCTTTCTCATTACTTAATTTTCCAGATCACCAGACCAGGCCACAGCAATGCATGGCAGGGGCGGCTAGTTTTTGAATAAATGTCTATATCAAGTATTCTGTTGCCTTCTGAATTTTAACCAGAAATCATGCCCAAAACATGTGTCAAACACAAGGCCTGCAGGCTGAATATGTCCTACCATGTTATTTTATGAGGTCCATGAGGCTTTCAGTGCCAGGGCAACATAGTTACATTTATACAGTCTTATGATGACAAATGGAACTTTGAAGATAACCATAAGGTTGATGTGCTCATTTTTGTAAGTAATGTGTAGAGACAAGTTTTCAGACAGCCCTTTATCCCCTTTTGTACTTCTTATAATGTAAATACTACTTATGTCAAGAGCTTCATGACAGCCCCTTGGCAACCTGCACTCAACATCTGCAGGCGGGAAGGGAATAGCATTAGGATATACATTGACTTAAGAGCAGTTATATATTTGTCTCCCTTTATGTCTTTTTATATTTCTAATAGATTGTTTCACTGGCCTTATAAATATAATGACGGATATAATTTGGCGCTTCACTGGGGATTTCATGGCTCCTGATCTTGTCTGCCGAATTGTTCGCTATTTGCAGGTAGTAAATAAATGTCTCTCACAGCATGTTGTGATGTTCTTTTTCTTAAACTAATGATTTTTCTATTATGAAAAGGTGAAACCATTCTATCTTGGGGGTGGGGAGGGGATGGGATGAAAAATAGGGAAAGGAATGTAAAACATAAAAGCCATAAAAAACAAAATGCTGAAGGATTCAATTCTCCTGACTGATTTCATGCATTGATTGATTTTTAAATGGTGTATTTTAATATTTTGATAAATGTTTTTTTTAATGTTTACGTATGTGAATTTGTGTTCCGGCATTAAATGTTTGCCGTGTATATGCTGTGCTCCGCCCTGAGTCCCCTTCGGGGTGAGAAGGGCAGAATATAAATGTTTTAAATAAATAAATAAATAAATAAAATTGATGATAGTCCTTATAATAGTCTTTATGGTGATGATCTCAAGAAGAGTTCAGAAAATCCATCAGTTGCATGTGACATGGAACCTGGGGTGCTAAGAAGAATCAGAAAGGTGGCAAATGATGTAATTATTCCCGTTGATCAATAATTTCTGATTATTTGATTCCGCCTGGTTTTAATATCCTACTTCAGTGGTGACTCATAGAACAAGTGGGATGTGGCAAATGGTTGGGGAAGTAGACCCCGCCCTCCAATTGGTCCATGAGTTGCCCATGTGCAACTGAATTATTTTTGCTCCCACGTTAAACAATATATGATTCCTCTATGTCCCACCCTGTAATAATCTGGGGGGGCCCTGCTCTCGACCCCACCGCTATCACAAGTGAGGTTGGTGGGGACGAGGAGCAGGGCCTTCTCAGTGGTGGCCCCTCACCTGTGGAACTCACTCCCGGGAGAAATTAGGGCATCAACATCCCTCCTCTCCTTCAGGAGGAAAGTAAAGACGTGGTTGTGGGACCAGGCCTTTGGGCAATCTGACAACTAGATAAGGACAACCAGACGGATAGGACTGACAGGACTGACAATTGTGGAATTGGAATTTGAACAATGAGATAGCGAACGCTGACCATCAATGAGGAGAAAGTGGTTTGTATTGGTTTTATTGGTTTTATTGGTTTTATGGTTGTAATGCAAGAATTGTTGTTTGTTGTTAATTGATGTTATGGTTTTTATTGCTGTTATGTGATGCGGGCATCGAATTGTGCCTTGTTTTTGTAAGCCGCCCTGAGTCCCCTTCGGGGTGAGAAGGGCGGGGTAGAAGCAACTAAAATAAATAAATAAATAAATAAATTTGTGTTTAAATGTATATAAACAAAAGAAGAAAAGAATATCCAGGCATTTTTTGATTTTTAAATTTGAATTATTACCTTTGGCCCGGCCATAGGTTTTTAAATGCTGTATGTTTGATATTGTTATTGTCTATTGTTTAGTATGTATTTTCTGTTTTTGAGTTATTGTAACTGCTTTGTATTGATTATTGTTATTGCTTTTGTTTATGGATGTATTTGGGCTTGGCCTCATGTAAGCCACACCGAGTCCCTTGGGGAGATGGTAGCGGGGTACAAATAAAGTTATTATTATTATTATTATTATTATTATTATTATTATTATTATTGACTCTTTCACTGTGACAAAAATGTTTTTTTTCTTTCTGGTCTAGGTTGTACTGCTTTATGCCTCCACCTATGTTCTGGTTTCACTAAGCATAGACCGATATCACGCCATAGTTTATCCAATGAAATTCTTTCAAGGAGGTAAGAAAATTCAATGACTCCCCCACTCCTATAGCTATTTTCTTTCTTTTTTTTTGTGAAGTCTTCTTTTAATAGATAACTTTTCATTGTGTTCAAATAATCTTTTTGCTATGAATAATGTATTGCACTTAATTCCTTCAGGCTCCCTCGTTGTTTTTTAAATGGCAATAGTGTTGGCCTCTGGCTTTTTACTATAATTACTACATAAATGCCAGACGATCCTTTGATAGAATACTGAAGATCTTTCTGCTACTGTGAGAAAAACCAATTAAGAATCAAAAAGTTAATAAAATGAAAGACATCCCCAGTGGAATTTCACAATTATAATTAGTTAGTTTGCATTCATGAAACATTGGGCATGGCCAGGATTCCACCCAGGATCATGAAATTATTCTCAGTTCTCATTGGACTTGAAACACAATATTGCAGTATGGAATACTGTTCTAGTCCCTCCTCCATGCTATTCTATTCTTCTGGAGCCAATTAGTAGAGGTGTATGAAACATCAAAAATCCACTTTGTTTCTAATTATGAAATTTGGTTACCCCCAGTTTTATTTCATAAGTATTTCTAAACAATCATAAAGGGTCAATTTCATTTCTAATATGAAGTACTGTTATTATTTTGTTTTGTTATTCTGCCCAATTATGACAATGAGGAAACTTCTGGGTCTCGTTGTCCCTCATTTTTAGGGCTATCTGGATGAAACTTGCTACAACTGTAGCACACATTTACAACTGTTAAGACTCCCAAGTTTCAGAAAGTTTTTCTCATTCACTGAGTTTAGGGAAATTTTGACCTTTTATGAATAACATTCATAAAAGACTTATCCCCTTGAATTTTCTACAATGACACAACATAATAATAATAATAATAATAATAATAATAATAATAATAATAATAATAATCTTTATTTATACTCCGCCACTATCTCCCTGATGGGGACTCAGAGTGGTTTACATGAGGCCAAGACCAAACAACAAATTACAACAGAGTAAAACCATAACTGCAAACCGAAAACATAAACAATAAACAACAACGTCATAATTACATAATTACATAAAACATGTGAATAAATAACAATATAAAATTACAATAAGCACAATCACAATGACAATGAGTGAGCTATATGTAATGATTAAAAGAAAAACTAATTAAAAACTAATTAAAAACTCTGGTGAGATAGAAGAGAAGCAGGTTATTTGCGGAGGAGGGCTCATTATAGCGGGGGTTGTGGAATCAAGCTTTCCCACGAGGGGGGGGGAGGATGTATACTCCAATGACAGAACATTGAGGCTAAGCAATAGTGTGAGATTGTATACCTACTCACCAAAGGTGCAGCGGAAGAGCCAGGTTTTAAGGTTCTTTTTAAAGGTTTCTAGGATAGGGGCATAATTCCCCCCAAAGTTTCAGAAAGATTTGTACACCTAACAACTTTTAGGGAATTTTAAACATTTGCTTGATTTTTTTTAAAAAAAAACTTACAAGACTATTGTGATTTGTAGAATTGAGCCTAGTTTACCTGTCCGAACGGATTCTCCCCTATGAACCATCAAGAGTTTATCTCTCTTATGTTCTGTAAACCTCAGTTCCCACCTCCTGATTGAAAAGAAAAGCTCATTTGAAGCACTCCTAAACACAAGGTGGCACTTAAAGATTTTTTTTTCCAAAAAAAGGGGCATATATGCAGATTTCTGAAGCAAGGAATAGTAGTGGTGATCCCCAGTGTAGCCCCTGGTTCCCTGAAATTCACGATCAGATGTGATAGACTGGCACCAGATCTTCACTGAAGGCTTGCTCTCTCCTGCAACCAGAAATAATTTTAATTGAATATGTGTGGGTTGAACCTTGCATGCAAAAACAATTTAAGTTCTGGCACAAAACTGAATCTCCCTCCTTTCCCAAAAGGGAAAAAAAACCATCAAGTGTTAAGTATGCTTCCTACATCAGCAAAAATGCAATAAAATAAATCTAATTTGTGGTGACTAATATCATCTGAAATCTGGAAAACACATCACTGAAATTCACAATGAGATCTTTTAGAATTACAGCGCTTGACACAGACCCCCAATTACCTTTAATCTTTTATAATAAGACATTTGGTAATTCATCCCTAATTACTTCTGATCTGAAAATAAAAAGGTAATAAGCCATTCTTATTCCAGAGAGTACCACCAACTAAATTTCTCTTTTCAATTCTTCTCACTTGGTCACTCACTGGTCTTGTCTTATATATTGTTTATCTCCTAGATCGGCCTTTCTATAAGCTATACATGTATTAAGACTAATTTTCTTATTTTTGACACAGAAAGGCAGGCAAAAATTCTCATTGTGATTGCTTGGGGCCTCTCTTTCTTGTTTTCAATTCCAACTCTCATCATATTTGGGAAGCGACAACTCTCCAATGGGGAAGTACAATGTTGGGCTGTTTGGCCAGATGATTCTTACTGGATCCCTTATATGACCACAGTTGCTTTCCTGGTGTATTTCATTCCTCTGATTATTATCAGGTAAGAATCTTGACAGTTCATGGAGTTTAATTGGGATTGATAATTTGTTCATGCTTGTATAATTTTCTGAAGTGAGGCATTTGGTAAAATCAGTTCTTCAGTAGTGGAAAAGTACATGTGTATAACCCCAACATCTAAGACAGCATTCTTCAACTTAATATCCTTCAGGTATGCCAGATGACAACTCCTATCTTCCTTGGCAAGCTTAGAAGAGACTGGTTGTTGTAGGTTTTTTCGGGCTATATGGCCATGGTCTAGAGGCATTCTCCCCTGACGTTTCGCCTGCATCTATGGCAAGCATCCTCAGAGGTAGTGAGGATGCTTGCCATAGATGCAGGTGAAACATCAGGAGAGAATGCCTCTAGACCATGGCCATATAACCCGAAAAAACCTACAACAACCAGTGATTCCGGCCATGAAAGCCTTCGACAATACATTAGAAGGGACTGTTCAAAAAAACCAAAGTGATTATATGGCTCTGGCCCAGCTTATTGTCTGAATGTATCTCCTTCTACGTTCCACCTCGAAGTTTAAGATTTTTCTGGGGAGGCCCTGCTCTCAGCCCTGACTTTGGCGCAAACACGCTTGGTGGGGATGAGGGACAGGTGGCCACCCATCGGTGGTGGCCACCCATCTGTGGAACTCACTCCCCAGTGAAATCAGGTCAACAACATCCCTTCTTGCCTTCAGGAGGAAATTTAAAATGTGGCTATGGGACCAGGACTTTGGGTAGCTGGCAGATAATTGACAATGGTAATGATGATAATGTTATGGAAAATGGACTATGAACAGGCTTAAGATTGTGTTGTGCTCGCTGAATTTGTTTCTACATAAGGCTAGACAGCCAGTATTATTACACTTTTTATTAAAGTACTTTTTATTTCAAAACTAATTTTAAAATTAATTTACTGTGTTCTTAGACGTAATTACTGTATATATTATTTATATGTAATGGCATCGAATTGTGCTGGATGTAAACCGCCCTGAGTCCCCGTCCGTTTGAGAAGGGTGGGGTACAAATATTTGAAATTAACTAATTAATTAATTAATTAATTAACAGTGTAGCAGAGCATAGTTTCTTAAACTATTCGGGCATGACCCCATTTGGGATCCCTTAACTAAATGTAGGGGTCATGAAACATTTGTGTAGCTTGCCACCTAGTGACTGTTTTAGACACTTACATGAATCTGTTCGCAACTTCAGCAAGCAAATGCTTCATCTGCCACTTTAGGCTGTCAACCAAGCAGGCCAGCATGGCATGAAAAATGTTGAGGATGCTCTAAATCCTGCAGTAGCAAATATTCAACCTAGGTGTAATTATTTATGTAAAAACAAACAAGCATGTCTACCATATTAGTATGCAAATTTGCTTTCCTCTTTATCTCAGGGAGTAGAATATCATGGGCTGGCCCTGTGTTCATATTGCTGAGAATAGGTAGTTTGATAAGTGAATGACAGGAATAAAATAATGGTTTTCCCCCACGTTGCTTCTCTCTAACACAGCGATTCTCAACCTGGGGGTTGGGAACCCTGGAGGGGTCGCAAAGGGGTGTCAGAAGGGTCGCCAAAGACCATCAGAAAACACAGGATTTTGTGTTGGTCATGGGGGTTCTGTGTAGACAGTTTGGTCCAATTCTATCATTGTTGGGGTTCAGAATCCTCTTTGATTGTAGGTGAACTATAAATCCCAGTAACTACAACTCCCAAATGTCAAGCTCTATTTCTCCCAAATTCCACCAGTGTTCACATTTAGAAATATTGAGGATCTGTGCCAAGTTTGGTCCATCAGATCCATCATTATTTGTGTCCACAGTGCTCTCTGGATTTAGGTGAACTACAACTCCAAAACTCAAGGTCAATGCCCACCAAACCCTTCTCGTATTTTCTGTTGGCCATGGGAGTTCTGTGTGCCAAGTTTAGTTCAATTCCATCATTGGTGGAGTTCAGAATGCTCTTTGATTGTAGGTGAACTATAAATCCCAGCAACTACAAATCCCAAATGACAAAACCAATACATCCCCCCCCCCACAACCTCACCAGGTATTTGTGCCATATTTGGTCCAGTAAATGAAAATACATTCTGCATATCAGATATTTACACAACGAGCCATAACAATAGCAAAATTACAGTTTTGAAGTAGCAACAAAAATAATTTTAAGGTTGGGGGTCACCACAACACAAGGAATGTATTAAGGGGTCATGGCATTAGGAAGGTTGAGAAACACTGCTCTAACAGTATTATTTAGTGCAAGAGGGTTGCTCTGGTTGATAGCCAGTGTGGCAGGGAAAAGGAGTTACAGCAACACCCCCCTTCCCCTCGCGACAGCGCCTTGAGAGCGTTGAAGGCATTTAAGGAGAGCTGTGGCTCAGGAGCAATTACACTATTGTAAGGATTGCAAGCAAAGCACCATGATGATGCTATTAAAGTAAAAGGAACTGACTCAGATGGGGGTCACCAGGTAGCTATCCAAAAGACTCAATTTGTCTGTTCTGTTTCCGCTCTACTTGTGACAGAGCAAGAGTGGGACTAAAAGGACCGGGACAGGAATCAATAGAAGTGGTCAGCAGATCCTCCATTTCCTAATATATCTGAATATTAAGAAATGATATTCTCTGGGTTGCAGTCTTTCTACATTGGGAATTTTTTTCTTATTATTTATTTAAAACATTTATATTCTGCCTTTCTCACCCCGTAGGGGACTCAGGGCAGAGCACACCATATATACAGCAAACATTCAATGATGGAACATAAAATAAACTATAAACATACATAAACATTCAAACCAGTCATCTTCACTTTTAAAATCAGGTATTTATGCTATTTCAAATCAGCAAAGTAAAATTCCTATTGTATTGTCGAAGCCTCCCATGGCTGGAATCTCTGGGTTGTTGTAGGTTTTTTAGGTTGAATGGCCATGTTCTAGAAGCATTCTCTCCTGACATTTCACCTGCATCTATGGTAGGCATCGTCAGAGGTTGTGAGGTCACGTTCTAACCCAATTTACCTGTCCAAATGTATCTTCCCTTATGAACCATTGAGGACGTTAAGATCATCTGGGGAGGCCTTGCTCTCAGTCCTGCCTTTGTCACAAGTACATCTGGCGGCAGGCCTGTAGCCAGGATTTCGTTTCGGGGGGGTGCTGAATTTTTTTCAGGGGGGGTTTCGGGGGGGGGGGCTGAGTTTCGGGGGGGCTGAGTCTGAGTGAAAGAGGGTCTATCCTAGCAAACCTTTTGTATCATTACCCCAATACCCCATGCATATGGGATATATTGAGTATGGTGATCAGATCATGATATGAATAAACATAACAGTTTAAATAATGCACCAGTAAGGCCTTTTCGCGAACCACCATGAGAATTTTGGGGGGGGGGGCTGAAGCCCCCCAGCCCCCCCCCCCCCCCCCCCCCCTACATGCCTGAGGACCGGATCAAGAGTCAGGGCCTTCTCAGAGGTGGCCCCTTGGCTATGGAACACCTCCCTAAAGAGATTAGATCAGCTTCTTCGCTCCTAACATTTCGAAAAAACTCAAAACATGGCTGTTCGAGCAAGGATTTGCAAATATTGAGTAATGGACAAAGGAAAACGGAACAACTATATGATGGAATTGGACAATGCTTTTATTGAGGATTTATTGACTTATGTTTTTATTGCTGTTGTGATTTTATTGCTGTTAACATTTTTAAATTGTACTTGTGTTTTTGTGGCATTGAATTTTTGCCTTGTAAACCCCTTGAGTCACTGGAAGGCTGAGAGGGGCGGTATACAAATAAAGTAAATAAATAAATGCTTCTAGAACATGGCCATCTAGCCCGAAAAACCTACAACAACCCAACATTCCTATTGTTACCTTATTGCACTGTCCCAAAGTTGTTGCCATCTTTTTGAAGGACAGGAGGGTGGGGGCTGATCTTATCTCGCCAGGGATTGAGTTCCAAATTGAACATTTTTGCATCTGTGACCTGTAAATGCACTGCAAAAATCCTTAAGAAGTAGCTTAGAAAATGGTAACACTATTTTTTAATCTGTAAAAACTACTTGAGTAGAGAAAAAGAGGTTTAAATTAAGCTAATAATTAGTATTGCCTTTTTGTTACACATTGAACTTCCCCTGAAAAGTATGTTTAAATTTGCTGTGACAATATGTAACCTCGCTGTGCTGAATTTTCACCCCACTCTTTACACTGCGATTACAAGACATTGGGAGATTATTTTCCCCTATTAGATTCCTGCCTAGCCTCCCCAAAGTTAGGCGTCAGGTATTGTGAGGGCATAAAGATCAGGAAATGCAATCAGGCTAAGTGTTTGCAGAACTCTATGGCTTAAATTGGTACTTATTTGGTATAAATGTCAGTGTCATCTTCACTGCAAACCCAATTAAAAATGTAATTTAGTCAGCAAACAAAGCTCCAGACCAAAGCTTTGAGACAATATTTTGGGACGATGTCCTCCTCCTCCTAGCCATATGGCCCGTGGATGAGATTTAATCATTGGTTATTGACTTCTTTGCCTTCTCCTCTTCAGAGCAGCCCGTCAAGTACCCAGGAAAATGCTGCTCAAAGGATCAGGACAGTGTCATGATTGGGATTATGTGAATGACAGAAGGAAGAGAGGAGCATTTAAAAATGAGCCAAGGACATCACTCATAGAGGGCACTCTACTAGATTTGGAAGAATATCATTCTCAGGTTTTTTACAAGTCAACAGCCCCCTCCTCCCAAACTCTCTGAGCTTAATCCTGTGTTAATCCTACCCAGAGCACACCCAATGAAATAAATCAAATGTATTAGTTACAACTAACTATTCATTTCAGTGGCCTTATTCTAGGCTGAAGTTGTTTTATGAGTTGGAAACAACCTGAAGGAACACAACAACATCATTAACTTGCCTGTCCTGCTTTCCTTTTACCATTTCCAGTGTCATTTACTTCATTGTGATTCGGACAATATGGACTAAGAGTAAAGCCCATGCTATAATTGTGTCCAACTGTTCTGGTAAGTATTTCGGAGCAGCTGTTCTAAGGGTTACTCTTCAGCATGACATTAAAAGTAAGTGGTGTCAATTTACCAGAGGCTACAAAAATAGTTACTGTTAATTAATTAACTGAATTTTCAAATCTTATTTGGACAAATAGAGAAGTTGAATATGCTATATGAAGTCGAACATGTTGCTGTCGACTAATTGGGCAAAACACACACATGGAATTACTCCAATCCATTGTCATGAATTGCAGTTAGCAATTCACACTCACTGGGTTTAGAGATGACTGAAAGGGAGAAAAAACACACATAAAAAACCTATTTGTTTTACTAGTGAGAACACCTGTCTAGGAATCTCTAGGTCCCCCAGCACAACACTATAGTCAACGTCTGCCAATAGTTGACAATAAAATAGGGGGACCTAGCGAAAACATTTTAATCAAATCCATGAATAATCTAACCTGTTAAAGTCAAACCTGCAGATGTGGTGGTCTGGCTCTAAACATAGATGACAACAGAAAAATAATAGCATTTGCGTTTAAATTTTATGCTCATTTATATTGATGTACTGATTAACCAAATACATTTTTATTAAAATGAAATGCTCAGTTATTGTCTGAAATACCAGAGAAAGAAAAATATTGTTACTGCACAGAGTGAATCCTTGTCTCAACTTGTTTTTTACGTTTTCTAAATCATTGAAACATTCTGAAACTTGATGAACTAACAATAGTGAATGTGCTCTACCATTGTAGCAAGTTTCATCCAATAGCTGTAAAAATGAGGGAGAAAGGAGCACCTGAAGTTTCCCCACTTGCACAATTATTATAAAGAAAAAGTAACAAAATTCCGTTACTCTTGTTATAGTAATGAAAATTTCACCAACGATACTTTAGAAACACTTTAGAAACAAAATGCTGGCACTCTCTAATTTTGTAATGAATTTTGAAACAATTTTTTCATCGATTGTACAGCCCTAGTGGCCAATGCTATATATGAACTTTTGGTAGAAAACAGCAGAGAGAGAAAACACACAATGTTCTGGTAAGGTTTAAAAAAGGTAAAATCTTACTTAGGTTCTTGTGGGTTTTTTCGGGCTATAGAGCCATGTTCTAGAGCCATTTCTCCTGACGTTTCGCCTGCATCTATGGCAAGCATCCTCAGAGGTAGTGAGGTCTGTTGGAACTAGGAAAAAGGGCTTATATATCTGTGGAATGACCAGGGTGGGGCAAGGAGCTCTTCCCTGCTGCAGCTAGGTGTGAATGTTTCAACTGATCACCTTCATTAGCATTTGAAGGCCTGCCTGAGCCTGGGAAAATCTCTTGCTGGGAGGTGTTAATCTGTGCCTGGTTGTTTCCTCTCTGTTGTTTTGCTGTTGTAATTTTAGAGTTTTTTAATACTGGTAGCCAGATTTTGTTCATTTTCATGGTCCTCCTTTCTGTTGAAATTGTCCACATACTTGTGGATTTCAATGGCTTCTCTGTGTAGTCTGACATGGTGGTTGTTGGAGTGGTCCAGCATTTCTGTGTTCTCAAATAATATGCTGTGTCCAGGTTGGTTCATCAGGTGCTCTGCTATGGCTGACTTCTCTGGTTGAAGTAGTCTGCAGTGCCTTTCATGTTCCTTGATTCGTGTTTGGGTGCTGCATTTGGTGGTCCCTATGTAGACTTGTCCACAGCTGCATGGTATACGGTAGACTCCTGCAGAGGTGAGAGGATCCCTCTTGTCCTTTGCTGAACGTAGCATTTGTTGGATTTTCTTGGTGGGTTTGTAGATTGTTTGTATGTTGTGTTTCCTCATCAGCTTCCCTATGCGATCAGTGGTTCCCTTGATGTATGGCAGGAACACTTTTCCTCTGGGTGGATCTTCATCTTTACTCTCGTGGCTTGTTCTTGGTCTTGCAGCTCTTCTGATGTCTGAGGTGGAGTCTCCATTGGCCTGGAGAGCCCAGTTGAGGTGGTTCAGTTCATCTTGGAGGAGGTGGGGTTCGCAGATTCTTTTTGCACGGTCTGCCAAGGCTTTAATGGTGCTTCTTTTTTGACTTGGGTGATGGTTGGAGTTTTTATGTAGATATCTATCTGTGTGTGTGGGTTTTCTGTAGACGGTGTGACCCAATTGTTGATCTGGTTTGATCCAGTTCACCATGGAAAAAGAAAATGAAGGAAGACTGCCTTTTCTAGATGTCCTAGTCATCCGCAAACCAGATCAACAATTGGGTCACACCGTCTACAGAAAACCCACACACACAGATAGATATCTACATAAAAACTCCAACCATGCTTTGGAAATGTTAATGTTTAAAGTGCCTTTGTTTCATGGTTTTGATTCTTGGATTCTATGATTTTGTATTCAGTTGCTTTGGATTCATGTTTCCTGGTTTCTAGGATTTTATTATAGAAGTTTCTGCTTTTGTTTTTCATGGACTTTGATGGACTTTTATCCTGGACTCTTTTGTTCTGGCTCATCTTCCTACGTAATTGGATTTACCTATTCCTTTAAAGTGCTTTTTTACTTTACTGCTTTTTAATTATCTTCAATAAACAGATTGCATTTCTACTCAACTGTGTGGTGCTTAAAAGTCAGAGGCCTTTTCCTGGTCTGGAGTGCAACAAGGGCTTTTGGAAGGGGGTTGGTATTCTCAGAGTTTTCCGGTCTAATTTAGCCCAGAAAACTGTGGGAATACTGTCAGGACTGCAGTATTCTGCAGTCCAGACACCAAAAGTAGTGGGTTTATCCCACACCTTCCAAGAAGACACAGAATAAATCCACCATCAAATTCATTCGCCACAAACCAGGGTTTTCCTGGTTTGTGGCAAATTAATCCTTGTTTGGCCAGAACATTGTCTGGACAGGCCCCTTTTTATTGTGGAAGTCTAGATCCACCTTCAGATGAAAGAGTAGATAAACAAAGAACGTTACCTAACTTTTCTCATGTATATATGTCAGCCATCTTGAGGCAGAGAGAGAAACCTCTTGGTGCTTCCTTCTCAAACAGAGGAGGAAAGAATAGAAAAGAACTTGAGCTACATAGATTTCAGAAACAAGGGGGAAAGAAGACAGCACTACAGGGTTCCCTCTGTCTTCAATTGCTCTGTATATAAGTGCTTGATACTTCCTTGCTTCTAGCATTGTCCTCCATGCTTCTGAGGGCATAGGGAATGATATTTTGCAAAGAAAAAACCCTACGATCCTATTGTGCTAATGTTCAGTGGCTGACAAAATGCTGAATTTAGGCTTCCCTATAGCCTAGGATTGGATCCCAGATCATCTGTTTATTCCATATTATCTGACAGTGTAGTCTTATATAATCCAGTTCAAACAGATAATATGTGATCAGATTCAGGGATACAAGGCAGTGTAGGTCCACCCTTAGACTTCCCAGTAATTCTTCTATACCAGCAATACCAGGCTTAGATACCTACTTAGTTTCCACATGGTTACTGCATTGTGTCTCTTTAGGGCATCTCCCAGGCCCCATAGTTAGTCTTGTATTAATTAATTAAGTATATTACTTAATTCTTAGGGGAAGTGTCTTGGCTGTGCAGTTGTCTGAAGAGTGGAGAAATCTTGTTTCCACCCCCATTTCCTCCAGAATGCAAAAACCTCAAATGATAGAAAGAAATAATGAATACACACAGATGTATTTTTATTTATTTATGTTTTTCTTTCCTTCTTTTTACAGATGGCAAATTCCGCACAAGCTATACCCATCGAGGACTCATATCAAAGGCAAAAATCAAAGCTGTCAAGTACAGTGTGGTAATAATCCTTGGTAGGTGAGAACAAGCGTCGGTTACCAACACTGCAGGTTTCACTTTTTATTGGGCCCATGGAGGCATCCAATGAGCTGAAATGCACATCAATACTGTTAGCAAACCTCATTCATATGTACAAGTCTGGCATGGGCTGAGCAGATTTTCACTTCTGTTGCTACAAGAATACTGCCTTCTCCCTCTGCTGCCACATTTTATTCTTCCTCCTGACATATCCCTAGCCAAGAATTGCAACTACTTTAAAGTTGGGAACTCAAAAGTAGTAGGCATGTTGTTATTATTGTATATACTCATGTATACGTCAATGCCATGCATAAGTTAAGGGTAAGTTTGGGGGGCAAAATTGTGGATTTTTATATGACCTGGGCCATTTCACAGAGAGCACTAATGCTGGCTCAGGAGACTAGTTGCCCCCAGATGCTGCCCCTGCTATTTTCCCACCCAGGCATTCAAAAAGGCCAGAAGTGGCACCTTGATGGAGAAAGTAGAGCTGATGTTTCTTTTAGGTTCTCACAGGACAAACTAAGCTCTTGCCCTTTGCCACTCAGAGAAGGATATCATTCCTTTTTTAAATAAGAGTTAAGGTACAGTACTCACATTGACCCATGGATAAGTTGATTCAAGTTTCTTGAGACTAAAATTTCTAGACTTATACATGATTTTTCTTACTAGTTGGAGGTGAAAATTTTATTCTTCATACCCATTATCTTTAGTACATCCTTAAATATGAAAATTCTTATAAGTACAGTTGGAACATCCACAACAACTAAAACAGGGGCGATGAGGAGAGGATAGTGGTGGGTGTGTATGTGTGTAGCTGTGGCTGAGTACACACACACACACACAGGCGGCCCTAGGTAATTTTCAACGGTAAGCAAACAGTATTTTGCCCCCCCCCCAACCAATCACTGATATATATTTTCTGTTCGTTGTGGGAGTTCTGTGTGCCATATTTGGTTCAATTCCATCATTGGTGGAGTTCAGAATGCTCTTTGATTGTAGGTGAACTATACATCCCAGTAACTACAACTCGCATATGTCAAGGTCTATTTTCCCCCAAGAGCACCTCAAGAGCACCCCTGGGCAACCCGTAGCCAGGATTTTGATGGGGGGGGGGGCTGAGTTTGATTCGGGGGGGGGGCTGAGTCTGAGTGAAAGAGGGTCTACCCTAGCAAACCTTTTGTATTGTTACCCCAATACCCCCATGCATATGGGATATATTGAGTATGGTGATCAGATCGTGATATGAATAAACATAACAGTTTAAATAATGCACCAGTAAGGCCTTCTCGCGGACCACCATGAGAATTTGGAGGGGCTGAAGCCCCCAAAGCCCCCCCCCCCCAGCTACATGCCTGCCCTGGGCAAAATCAATTATACTGCAAATGCTTACTTTGCGTAATGGGTTGAGCCGCCCCTGCACACACGCGCACACACACATATATTTGTGTGAGACTTGAGAGACTTGTATGAGAGAGGTTTGAAAGAGACTTGACTTTTAAAATGCTTTGTATTTGGCACTTTAATATGTGTAACCCAATAGCATTAACTAAATCCTGTTCTAAATTATCTTCAGCCATCTTCCTGAAGAATAACTTCACTCCAGTAACTTGACACAAGTCTTTGTTGTAAGAAATTGAACAAAGAAATATTTATTTAAGTATTCTCAGGCACACAAAGCATATTGGTTACACAGTATTTTCTTCACAGTACTTCTTAGATTTTGTTACAGTTAACTTTTATTATCGTGAACACTTGAAACAGTTTCCATATAACTTCCAGAACGGCTTATCTTTTTGCCAGCCTGGTTTAGTAACTTCCTTCACTTTAAAATGTAATCCTTTCTCAGTCTCATGACTGGGTAATTTTAATCTTGTAGTTTCTTCACCTTAGCAATAGGTTAACTGTGAATTTATTTTCTAAAAGAACACTTTTCTCCTCAGTCCCACTGACTGACACTTAGGCACAGTTTCTCCTTTTATTTACTTCAGCTCTGCCACTGAAGACACAATATAATACTGGGAATTCCTTTCCCCTAGCTCACAAGCTAGTTTCTAATTCAGAACTGGTTCATTTAACGCTCTAAATATCAAGGCTGAAGACCGAAACTCCTTTGGTCCAGCTCTAACATAGCCAGAACCAACCTTCCTTAGCCCACCCGGTAAAAGACTGGCAAACATTTTTTAAATGTCCACTCTTCTGTTGGCAGTTAGCTCCACCCTTTTCTCTCCCTAGCTTGGCTGAAATTGATACATTTCTAATACAGGCTTCGTTACTATGGCAATGCATCAACCAAGCAGCTGTAGCTAATGCTGGCCTGCACTTGCCATATAATAACATTAATAAACATATTCAAAACCTATATTATAATTAGATATTTAGTTACAGCAGTGTATATGTAGAAGTGCTTTTCGCGTGTTCAATGTAACTGACCTTATCATACTGTCCCCCAGAATTGCCACAGATTGTGGTGCATCCGGTGGTGCCCATGGGAAGCATGGGGCGCCCATTGTCCCATGCCACACATGGCCCGACTTACCCATAACCCCATCTCAAGGGGGAGAAGTGTTGACCACCTGACTTTTCCCTATTATTGTTGGCGCAATATGGAAAGCCTCCGGTGTTGCCATCTTGGTGGTATGTGCCAGTTTCACTGTAGTTTAGCCAGGGAGCCCTGCCAGAAGTAGTTTTGTGTCGTGAGATGGGATGAGAGCCAGCGGACTCCGTGACATAACTATAGCTACACACACACACACACACACACACACACACAGGTATAATGGTGCTATCGCCAGTGAGATTCTGATTGTTGTAGGTCAAAACTATAACTTTTCCATATTCTGCAGACACTTAACTGGCAGTCTGCCCTTGGACATCCAAGGAGATCGGTATTTTCATTTTCTGCAAAGCATGTGATCTTTTCCTGCAATCTGAAGAGGTTCAATAGAAGAACAATTTCACAATCATTTCCACTGTTTGAATAAGCAGTGAACAGTTTCTGTGAGTAACCTTCTGCACTCAAAATCCAAAGCAAACAAAAACCCAAAAGATGAAAATATTCTACTACTGAGTATTAGCTACAACAGATCAAGGCAGTGTGATGGCTTCCATTTTTTATAGCTGGCATAGAAAATGGAAAATGAGCAATTCACTCACACAACTTATTTCTACTTCTCCACCAATGAAAGCAGCTCATAATAGCATGCTTATCCTCAGCACAATTGAACCCTGTCTATTATTCCCTCTCTAAAATAATGCATGTTCTTACTTCTCTATCTAGTGGGAATTTAAAAATACGTTTTATAAATCTCTGAAATCCTTACTACCTTTAAAACGATCTGTGTTGGAAGACAAGAGAAGCTTTGCCAAAGGGGCAGCACTAGCGGGATGCAGTTTCCTCATCTTCAACCATGCATTCATATTTTAATCACATCTGGCTATTTACCATTTTATTTATTCAATATCATCTTTCCTCTAGTCTAGGGCACTGAATCTTTATAAAACACATCCAGAAATACCACACAAGCAACTACCAAACAAACCATACTTTTTTAAAAAATGAAATTAACATGCAAGTCCTTCAACTAGAAGAAATTAAGCAATGGCCATGTTAGCTTGGAACTTCTGGGAACTGTTGTCTCCAAAGTAACATTTTCAGGATATAATTCCTGCTAGTACACCAAACTGTAAAAATGTGTTAGCATTTGACATATATTGGATAACAAAATATGTACTTCATATAGCAAAACTTGAAATAAGCAAAAGCAGTCAGATAATGGTTATATTTCTTTTGTCCCGATCATACCCATTAGCAGTACTTCAGGAATTCTAAGAAATATGGTGCACAGATGAAATTTTTGTAAGGGCTCCTCATTACTTAGTAACTGAATTACATGTGTTTATCCCAGTGGATAGCAGAAGATTATTTTATTTATTTATTGTGTCATCCGCAACCAGAACATTGTATTACATCTCTAACAGAACAAAACAAACAAACAGATTTTTTAAAAAAACACAAATTTTGCAAATTTGGTAGCTGATTAAATGTCCTTTGACCAGTATCTGGCCACTTGGAGTGCCTCTGGTGTTGCCGCAAGAAGGTCCTCCATCGTGCATGTGGCAGGGCTCAGGTTGCATTGCAGCAGGTGGTCAGTGGTTTGCTCTTCCCCACATTCGCATGTTGTGGATTCAACTTTGTAGCCCCAATTCTTAAGATTGGCCCTGCATCTCGTGGTGCCAGAGCGCAGTCTGTTCAGTGCCTTCCAAGTCGCCCAGTCTTCTGTGTGCCCAGGGGGGAGTCTCTCATCTGGTATCACCCATGGATTGAGGTGCTGGGTTTGAGCCTGCTACTTTTGAACTCTCGCTTGCTGAGGTGTTCCAGCGAGTGTCTCTGTAGATCTAAGAAAACTATTTCTTGATTTAAGTCGTTGACGTGCTGGCTGATACCCAAACAAGGGATGAGCTGGAGATGTCTCTGCCTTGGTCCTTTCACTATTGGCTGCTACTTCCCGGCGGATGTCAGGTGGTGCAATACCGGCTAAGCAGTGTAATTTCTCCAGTGGTGTAGGGCGCAGACACCCTGTGATAATGCGGCATGTCTCATTAAGAGCCACATCCACTGTTTTAGTGTGGTGAGATGTGTTCCACACTGGGCATGCGTACTCAGCAGCAGAGTAGCATAGCGCAAGGGCAGATGTCTTCACTGTATCTGGTTGTGATCCCCAGGTTGTGCCAGTCAGCTTTCATATGATATTGTTTCTAGCACCCACTTTTTGTTTGATGTTCAGGCAGTGCTTCTTGTAGGTCAGAGAACGGTCCAGAGTGACTCCCAGGTATTTGGGTGTGCTGCAATGCTCCAGTGGGATTCCTTCCCAGGTAATCCTCAGAGCTCGGGAAGCTTGTCTGTTCTTAAGGTGAAAGGCGCATGTCTGTGTTTTAGATGGATTAGGGATCAGTTGGTTTTCCCTGTAATAGGCAGTAAGAGCACCTAGAGCTTCGGAAAGCTTCTGTTCTACCATCTCAAAGCTCCCTGCTTGAGCGGTAATGGCACGATCATCTGCTTCACTCTGGCCCAGGGCGGCAGTTGGTGCTGGGGGGGAGGGGTTCCCAACTGATGACATGCAGGAGACAAGATGGAACTGACTGAGACTGTGAAATATTCTTTGAAATCTACAGCAAAATGTGCAGTGGATGTTTCACAAAAAACAGGCTTTCTGTTTAATAAAGTTTTCCCATGTTTTTGTGATAGAGCCAATTAGAAAATGACATTTATAACACACAAAAAAATTGTGTTACATAGTGTAATCATTAACTTCTTCCAGAGGAATTTTAGCTTCCATTAATTGGAACTTAGTTTTCAGAAAACAGGCAAATACTTAGTTGTTATTCTTTAGATCTGAAATGCCCCACGATCTATTTTCAAATCCAAGTGTGGGTTTAATTGGCTATCTGTAGGCATGTATGTTTTGATGTATGTATATTCCTCCCAAGCATCTGTAATTTACGTGTTACATCAGAACTGGCATGTCTGTGAAATGTTTCTTCATGTTTAAACTCTGACCCCATGATCAGTCATGATCCTGCCACATTTATTTCTTGCTGTAGCTTCCCCTTCTCTGGGAATTAATGACTAATCAGGAAAAAACCATGGTGATTGAGTTGAGAGCCATCTTTCTTAGTGACGCTTTCTCCTAGCTGCTTGCCTCATGCTGTTTTTCCAGGCAGTTGACATGCAGAAGCTTTTGTTCCTTCCAATTTGCTGTTTGTTTGTAAGTTCAGGATACACAGCGCTCTTTTGTCTTCAATGCAATGTTGTTTTCTCAGATTGTTGAACTGATTTACCAAGAAGCTAACTTCTAATTTGGGAGTTGATGTTTCCTTCCTCTTCCTCCTTATAATAAAATAATAAAACTTTATTTATATACTGCCCTATCTCCCCTACATGAAGCCGCTGGGAGAGATCATCCATAGTTTTGGAGTTAGATGCTATCTGTATGCAGATGACATTCTACTGCTCCTTTCCACCTGTTACTAAGGAGGCTGTTCAGGTCCTGAACTGGTGTTTGGAAGCTGTGATGGTCTGGATGAGAGTGAACAAATAGAAATAGACAAGACAGAGGTACTCCTGGTCAGTCGTAAGGTCGAACAGGATATAGGGTTACAGCCTGTGCTGTGCTGACACTGGTTCGCAGCTTGGAAGTTGTCCTGTATTCATCACTGAGCCTGGAACCTCAGGTTTCAGTGGTAGCCAGGGGAGTCTTTGCACAAATAAAACTTGTGCACCGGCTGTACCTATACCTTGGGAACCAGACTTGGCCATGGTGGTCCATGCTGTCATCACATCTGAAATAGATTATTGCAATGTGCTCTACATGGGGTTGCCTTTGAAGACTGCTTGGGAGCTTCAAGTAATGCAACAGGCAGCGGCTAGGGGACATACAACCCTCCTGTTGCGTCAGCTCCACTGGCTGCCAGTCTGCTACAGAGCAGAATTCAAAGTGGGTTGTTGTAGGTTTTCCGGGCTATATGGCCATGTTCTAGAGGCATTTTCTCATGACGTTTCGCCTACATCTATGGCAAGCATCCTCAGAGGTAGTGAGGTCTGTTGGAAGTGGGAAAATGGGTTTATATATCTGTGGAAAGACCAGGGTGGGACAAAGGATTTTTGGCTGCTGGAGCTAGGTGTGAATGTTTCAACTGACCAGCTTGATTAGCATTTAATGGCTTGGAAGTGCCTGGGGGAATCTTTCTTTGAGAGGTGATTTGATATGCCTGATTGTTTACTCTCTGTTGTTTTGCTGTTGTAATTTTTGAGTTTTTTTAATACTGGTAGCCAGATTTTGTTCATTTTCATGGTTTCCACCTTGAAATTGTCCACATGCTTGTGGATTTCAGTGGCTTCTCTGTGTAGTCTGACATGGTGGTTGTGAGAGTGGTCCAGCACTTCTGTGTTCTCAGATAAAATGCTGTGTCCAGGTTGGTTCATCAGGTGCTCTGCTATGGCTGACTCCTCTGGTTGGAGTAGTCTGCAGTGCCTTTCATGTTCCATGATTCATGTTTGGGTGCTGCATTTGGTAGTCCCTATGTAGACTTGTCCACAGCTGCATGGAATACGGTAGACTCCTGCAGATCCCTCTTGTCCTTTGCTGAACGTAGCATTTGTTGGATTTTCTTGGTGGGTCTGTAGGTGGTTTTTATGTTGTGTTTCCTCATCAGCTTCCCTATACAGTCAGTGGTTCCCTTGATATATGGCAAGAACACTTTTCCTCTGGGTGGATCTTTGTCTTTACTCTCGTGGCTTCTTCTTGCTCTTGCAGCTCTTCTGATGTCTGAGGTGGAGTATCCATTGGCCTGTAGAGCCCAGTTTAGGTGGTTCAGCTCATCTTGGAGGAGGTGGGGTTCGCAGATTCTTTTTGCACGGTCTGCCAACCAGAGGTCAGCCATAGTAGAGCACCTGAGGAACCAGCCTGGACACTGTATATTATTTGAGAACACATAGAAATGCTGGACCACTCTCACAACCACCATGTCAGACTACACAGAGAAGCCATTGAAATCCACAAGCATGTGGACAATTTCAACAGAAAGGAAGAAACCATGAAAATGAACAAAATCTGGCTACCAGTATTAAAAAACTCAAAAATTGCAACAGCAAAACAACAGAGAGTAAACAATCAGGCACATCAAATCACCTCTCAAAGAAAGATTCCCCCAGGCACTTCCAAGCCATTAAATGCTAATCAAGGTGGTCAGTTGAAACATTCACACCTAGCTCCAGCAGACAAAAGTCCTTTGTCCCACCCTGGTCTTTCCACAGATATATAAACCCATTTTCCTACTTCCAACAGACCTCACTACCTCTGAGGATGCTTGCCATAGATGCAGGCGAAACGTCAGGAGAAATGCCTCTAGAACATGGCCATATAGCCCGGAAAACCTACAACAACCCAGTGATTCCGGCCATGAAAGTCTTCGACAATACACAGAATTCAAAGTGCTGGCTTTGGCCTATAAGGCTCTAAATGGTTCCGGTCCACCTTACCTGTCTGAAAGCATATCTCTTTATAAGCCAGCTAGAACACTAAGAGCTTCCGGGGATTTCTTGCTCTTGGCCCCGCCACCTTTGCATTTGCGATTGGCAGCGATGAGACACAGTGTCTTCTCGATGGTGGCCCCTCAGCTGTGGAACTCCCTCCCCACCAAGATTAGATCAGCCCCCCCCCCCAGCATTTAGGAAACAACTTAAGACCTGGTTATTCAAGAAGGCATTTGGTGAATGACAGGAATATGAAAACGTGGAAGTAGTTAAAGATAACCTCTGGATCGATGCAAGGCCTAAATGTTTTATGTGTTTGTGATTGTTGTTTATAGTTTTAATGGTTTTAATCTATTGCTATATGTGGTTGATTTGATATGTGATGTTTTATACATGTAAGGCATTGGATTTTGCCATGGTTTTGGTTGCGAACCTTTTTGAGTCCCCCAGGGGTGAGAAAAGCGGTATATCAATGCAATAATAAATAAATACTGTAGCTTAAAACAGATGGCTGATTCAATGTCACTCTCTGATATTTGATACTGATATAATTTGATACATATTCACACTTGAAGGTGATTATCTTTCTGTTGTTAAAGGGTCTGCTTGCCTAGATTGGTTCTGAGCAATTGATAAATTGATATCAAGTAGTTAAGTGCCACTGCATTTTCTTTGTAAAGAATCTCTCTGCAGATGGGATGTTGAAATGACGCAGCTAACAGTTGAGGACCTTTGCTCCTAAGATGAGAATTTGAAACAAATGGATTAGGGAGCAAGAGAGGCTTAGTTCCATTCACTGAAGACCGTAAGCAGATATAATAATGCTTTTGAGGCATTCCTCTTAGAAAGCAAAGCCTTTACAGTATTTAATCGCTGTAATCCATTAAATCGGCTGTTTCAGATTAAGGGAAAATAATACTTTAAAAAAGCTTTCTGTACTTGTGATGATGGATGTTTTGTTATACACTTGAAGTTGGATCCTATGCAGCGCTAAACGCTGAAGCAAAGTTTGGGTATTTGTATTTTCTAGAGGATCAGCCTGCAAAATGTCATATAAAGTCCTGTAGTTTTAACAGCAATTCCCTTTCAATTGGATAAGAATCTAACAAAAGATGATGAGACCATGTCGGCCAGATCTCCCAGGGTTACTCATCCCATTAAATGTGAACTCACTTCAAACATCTCCTTCCGTTTCTTGCAGCATTTGTGCTCTGCTGGAGTCCTTACTTCCTCTTTGATATCCTGGACAACTTCAGCATCCTCCCAGAAACCAAAGAACGCTTCTATGCAGCAGTAATTATTCAAAATCTGCCAGCTCTAAACAGTGCCATCAATCCCATCATCTATTGTATCTTCAGTGACACCCTTTGCCAGGCTTTCAGGTATTAGACTTTCCTCCTGAATTAATTTCTTTTATCCTTTTGTTGTCTAAAAGAGACATCCAGGGTAATTTACCCAGTTATAATCACTGAATTGTGTTGTATATTGAGATAGAAAAGATAGGATTTGAGGGTGAATATTAAAAAAATCTCTCCCACCCCACTGTTTATGTTTTGCTATTTTTTAAAAGTATTTTACAAAAGTTCAAATACCAAAGCACTTATAGTCTCTTTGGCACCATCTACACAGCCATATAAAAAGCAGATTATCTGCTTTGGACATAATTTTATTAGTCTACACTGCCATATAATCCAGTTACACAAAGAAGTGTCTTTGCCAAAATATTAATCCAACCATTGTGACCAAAAAGCCTCTCTTAAACATAGTCCAAGTGTTTAATTCCACTTGATTTAGAGGTTGATTTTGTGGTCTTCATCCATTTCAGGCATGTTTCTTTCGTGACAGGGCCTGTTGGCAACCTTTCCTTTTCACCCAAAATTATTTGCCAGAAACATGGTAGCTTGATCACCAGGAACCAGCTTTATGCTTTATTCCCTATAATCCAGGGAGCTCGTTTTCATGGATCAAAATTTGTTTTGACCATTGATAATGGTGTGAATCATCCATCTCTGTAGTAGATTGCTCACAGGGGATAACTTCAAGCTGCCATATCCACAAATTATGTCTCTGTAAATTAAATTGAATGGCAGCCTTCTCACACATGCTGCCAGAATCACCCTTTATGGCTGTGAATTACAGTGATCTTGGTGGTGCCAGCCCAGGGAGCATGGGGACCTGTCACCCACACCATCCCGGCTTCCTCCCAATGCATCACATGGGTGCTGAAGATAGTAACCTTCTCAAGTCTTATCTATTTAATGTTTTGTTTGTTTATAATGTATCATTTTATTTCCTGAAGTGTATGTCTCCTTTGATTTGCAGTTTCCTTAGCTCTATATACTTGAGGCAGTAAGAGGGGCTGCAGATCATGTGACTGTTTAGAACAGGGGTCCTCAAACTAAAGCCCAGGATACGGCCCTCCAAGGTCATTTACCCGGTCCTCGCTCAGGATCAACCTAAGTCTGAAACGACTTGAAAGCACACAACAACAACAACATTACATTATTTTTGCATTATAAATAAGATATGTGCAGTGTGCATAGGAATTCAATCATGTTTTTTCCAATTTATAATCTGGCCCTCCAACAGTTTGAGGGACTGTGACCTGGCCCTCTGTTTAAAAAGTTTGAGGACCCCTGGTTTAGAATGTAGTTTAAACATGATGGCAGTTGAGGAATGACAATTAAGGCTCGAGTTCATTAAAATACAGAACTCAGTGTTGGGAGTTGTAAACCAGTTAAGTCTTGAGTCAGCTTGAGTACAGAAGACTGTCCCAGTGGTGCAATGGGTTAAACCCTTGTGCCAGGAGGACTGAAGACCAACAGGTTGGAGGTTCAAATCCAGGAAGAGCATGGATGAACTCCCTCTGCCAGCTCCAACTCCCCATGTGGGAACATGAGAGAAGCCTCCCACAAGGATGGTAAAACATCAAAACATCCTGGTGTCCCTGCGTAACATCCTTGCAGACGGCCAATTCTCTCACACCAGAAGTGACCTGCAGTTTCTCAAGTCGCTCCTGACACAAAAAAGAAGTCAGATGCCAGTATAGGAAGTTAGAAACCAGTTAAGACTTGAGTCAGCTTGAGTACAGAAGTCTCTCTTTCAGTCGGATGCCAGTGTAGGAAGTTAGAAAACTGTTGATGCTTGAGTTTGCTTTGAAAGTAGACTGTTATGAAAGAATTGTACAGAAAAATATAGTTTTGAAGAGATTGTTAAAGACTATAAGTTAAAGATACAAACGGAAACATTTTAAAGTTTAACCTGACAAGAAATGTGCCTGTATATTTAAATACATGAAGTTATGAGTAAAATAATCTTGTTATTTTAAAAGAAGTCTACTTGAATATTTGTCTTCTGAGAGCATTGAATAGAAACAAGATATAAGTATAGGGAATTGTGGATTATGACCTGTTAGGATCATAAGCTATTGGGTAGCAGAATTTTAGAAGTGTTTCTTTAGTTTATTGAGAAATGGATGACCACTGGGCTCATTAATAATAATAGTAATAGTAATAATAATAATAATAATAATAATAATAATAATAATAATACTTTATTTATACCCCACCACCATCTCCCCAAGGGGACTTGGGGCAGCTTACATGAGGCCATAAGGTTTTAAATTCTCTGTGTTATTGTTTATATGTGAGTTATATCAATTGTACTGTTTTATTTGCTTGCCGATGTGTTGTTGGGCTTGGCCTCATGTAAGCCACCCCGAGTCCCCTTGAGGAGATGGTGGTGGGGTAGAAATAAAGTATTATTATTATTATTATTATTATTATTATTATTATTATTATTTATAAGCCCAGTGGTCATCCATTTCTCAATAAACTAAAGAAACACTTCTAAAACTCTGCTACCCAATAGGTTATGATCCTAACAGGTCATAATCCACAATTCCCTATACTTGTGATCCTAACAGGTCATCATCCTTATCCCCAATAGGTTATTATCCTAACAGGTCATAATCCATATCCCATTAATGGAAAAAGCCTCCTTACGCTGGCTTGACCCATCTTTCCCAATGGAAAGACAGGGAGCTTCTCATCGACTGCCACCAGCCAATTTTTTTGGTGGTGGCAGGATTTTTGCAGCAGTCCAGCCATGGAGCCATCTTGGTAGTATTTCTCTGGGATGTGATGGGAGCCATTGGGCTTTGTGGCAGAACTGCTGAACACCCATCACTACCACTAAAGAAAATAGCCCGTGTGAAGAGGTCCTTGGTGGAGTAACTAGCATTTGTAATGACAACTAGCATTCTCTTCTAATTAAGATTAACTTTGATGTATAATTGTTTATTTATAAAATTATGTCACATTTTCTCTCTCTATTAAATTCTTCACTGCCCGCACATTGTGAATTCATTTTAATATGTTTTGTTCTCTAGATCAAGAAGACGGTCAGGAAATCTGGGGACTTTCAGAGAGAGAACAGAAGGTCTAGAGATGCAGGTTCTGTCCAAGCCAGAATATATTTAAAGATTGTGTATTACTACAAAGACCACATTGAAACTGCAGGGTGAAAATAAAAGTCTCATGAGAATTCTTTGTATATTGAGAGTCAGGAATTCGCTATACACTCTTGTGGCCAAAAGCATGTTCCATGCAAACAGAAGCTGAACTTCTGCACTGCTGGTCAGATCTGGAGCCTGTCTATGCTTTTGAGGCACATTACATTGTGTATGCATCCAGTTTATGCGATTGAAACTAGAACACTATCTTTATAAAAGATGTCAAATTTTAACATGATACCATACTGTTTGTATTACAGATATATTGTCGAAGGCGTTCATGGCCGGAATCACTGGGTTGTTGTAGGTTTTTCCGGGCCATGTTCTAGAGGCATTTTCTCCTGACATTTCGCCTGCATCTATGGCAAGCATCCTCAGAGGTAGTGAGGTCTGTTGGAAGTAGGAAATGGGTTTATATATCTGTGGAATGACCAGGGTGGGACAAAGGACTCTTGTCTGCTGGAGCTAGGTGTGAATGTTTCAACTGACCACCTTGATTAGCATTTAATGGCTTGGAAGTGCCTGGGGGGAATCTTTTGTTGAGAGTGATTTGATGTGCCTGATTGTTTACTCTCTGTTGTTTTGCTGTTGTAATTTTTGAGGGTTTTTTGAGGCCACATGACCTTGGAGGTGTCTACGGACAACGCTGGCTCTTCGGCTTAGAAATGGAGATGAGCACCACACCCCAGAGTCAGACATGACTGGACTTAATGTCAGGGGACTACCTTTACCTTTCTATCTATCTATCTATCTATCTATCTATCAGTGGAAAAATTCACACCTAGCTCCAACAGACAAAGAGTCCTTTGTCCCACCCTGGTCATTCCACAGATATATAAACCCATTTTCCTAGTTCCAACAGACCTCACTACCTCTGAGGATGCTTGCCATAGATGCAGGTGAAATGTCAGGAGAAAATGCCTCTAGAACATGGCCATATAGCCCGGAAAAACCTACAACAACCCACTGTATTACAGATACTTTTACCTAAATCATAAATAATGGTGACATTGTTGACATAAAAAGGCATACGAAAGTGCTAATTTGTAAGATGTCGGAATGTATTTGGGATAACTGCATGTTTACAGTAGTCACAGATCTCATTCAAAGTATTTCAGGAAAGTATCTACTATGTGTCCCAGCTTGTGGCTTGTAAATAGTAATAGTAAGCTTGTATAAACCTTTTGAATCAGTAGATACCTGTTTGCTTACTCTTGTGTTGGACTGCGATAATTTTATTCCATATATCGTATTTTTGATAGTGTTAATAACTTACAGACATTTGTGGGTCTGTTGAAAATCAGGGAACTCATTCACATGATAGGCTGCATAGTTCATACCAAGACGACTGGGTAGGTAATGGAGTATGAAATTATAACTAACACAATTTTTCCCCAAATTGCTTTTCAGCAAAGGTCTATTTGGTGTTACTGCAACTCTCAAAATTTTCTAGCAAGCATGAAAGCTCTTTTCCAAACTTTAGGTATGCCTCAAAATCATATGCTGGAGGGTTCTGTTCCTAAAAAGTAAATTAACTAAATGGAGTGGCTGAATAAAGAAACAACAGGGGGACTGATTTGTGCCATTTGTCTCCAACCATGCATTCCCAACTTGAGCACTTTATATGTAGCTAAACAGAAACTTCATTTATCCAAATGTTTTTTTTTTAAAAAAAACTTGATTGTTAAAATGTCAGTTTTTAAAATGATGAATGATTACATCATATTATCCAATAACCACTCTTCTTTTAGATACTCTGGAATATATTTTTGCTTCTAATATGATATTGCATTAAGCTTGGATGAGATCTATCAAATTGTGCTTGGCTTCTGTGCATGGAACAAGTGCATGTCGAGTTGTTTCAGTATATTCCAGTTCAGGTTACTGCTTTGCAAAGTTCTACTAGGAACAGTTTGTCTGTATTGTCAAAGGCTTTCATGGTCGGAATCACTGGGTTGTTGTAGGTTTTTTCGGGCTATATGGCCATGTTATTGAGGCATTCTCTCCTGATGTTTCGCCTGCATCTATGGCAAGCATCCTCAGAGGTAGTGAGGTCTGTTGGAACTAGGAAAATGGGTTTATATATCTGTGGAAAGACCAGGGTGGGACAAAGGACTCTTGTCTGCTGGAGCTAGGTGTGAATGTTTCAACTGACCAGTTTGTCTGCTTCATATTGGCTCTGAACATAAGCTGTTCCTTATGGGGACGAGAGACGGGGCCTTCTCCATGTTCACTCCCGGCCTCTGGAACTCCCTTCTGAAAGAAATAAAAATGGCCCCCATCCTCCTCTCTTACAAAACGCTACTAAAAATGCACCTTTACAATTTTGGTCTACAGGGAGGAGGAGAGTTAGAGTACTTTAGTAGTGCCATTGAAAAGCAGGCTGTCCTATCTGTAGTGTGTGGCCATTATGGTATGGTTAAGGACAACTAACAGCCAAAAGCTTACCCAATTTTAATTTTGCTGACTATGTTAGATTTTTTATTGTTGACCATGCTTTTAAATGTACTTATTTAGTGATTAGTTGTTCTATGTTTTTATTTTGATATTTAATTTCATTTGATTAGTACAATGCTCTTATTATTCCATATTATATTTATTGTTTAATGTTTTGGTATATGCCAGGCATTGCATATTGGCCTTTGTATGCATAAACTGCCCTGAATCCCCCAGAGGAGATAGGGCGGCCTAAAAATAAAGTTTATTTATTTATTTATTTATTGCTATGAACATATATTCTACTTATAATCAGTGCCCTTGTGTATGAATTCGGGATAAGGTATTCTATGTAACAAAAATGTAAACATTTAGTTTTATTGATATTTTTATTCATTATACTTAGGCAAATATTCTGGCTGAGATTCTACATTGCCCAGCATAACTTCCTTTTTTCAAAACTTAATAAAACCCATTGTATGAATCAGAAATTTTTATTTTTTTATAATGTAGGTGCATACCTAAAGTTTTGTTTTGCGTAGTTTTGAAGATCAAATTAGGTAGGTGACGTCCCCCATTCTCCATACACTGAGTAGTAGTAGTTTATTCGATGCTTAGACCATAGGTCTTTCACATACAAGGCAGGGCAGATAAATAAATACATGAACACCAGATTATTAAATACAATATAAAATACACAATAAAATCCTATAAATCGTTAAAATGCTACATATATTGATGGCAAGATGCACCTTTAAATACTACATAATGTAAAAACTCAAAACCATGTAAAAGCAAATAGATACAGCATTATTAAAACTACATAAACAGCCACTATTAGTTGAGAGCATCCCCAGCACAGTCAACTGCAATAACAGATATTCAGTTCTTGTGGGTTTTTTCGGGCTATATGGCCATGTTCTAGAGGCATTTCTCCTGACGTTTCGCCTGCATCTATGGCAAGCTTCCTCAGAGGTGAGGTCATATTAGTTTTGCCTGGATTTTCTGTGCTACCAGGGCAAAAAGAGACACCTCATGAATAACCACGGGGTCACGGGGTTAGTGTCAGCCAAGAGATAGAAAATCTTTTCGGACAAAGTGTTGGTCTGAAGGAGGTGAAGAATAAACCCCAGGATTTTGGTTCTTGGTTCAGAATACAAAGGGCAGAAAAGCAGATCCTCAATTTCGGCGTTAGTCAGGACTCTTGCCAGCATAGCATGCGTTATGTTGGCAATTTCTTCCTGGATGTTGGTCTTCAAATCTTGTAGGGTCCTTAGACGGTTCACATAAATATGGGATTTCAAAAAACCCCATAGGAAAAAAATCATAAGGGGCCAAATCTGGAGAGCGGGCCGGCCACTCCAAATCCGCTCGAAAAGTAGGCCTCAGCGGCAAAAGCACGCTCCTCACTGTTCCAACGCATGATGGTGACTGAACTGTGTCAGGACGAAACTTTATACTCCAGCCTCTCGAACGAGACCACTAGCGCTCCGCTACGTCTTCAACCGACTTAATGGCGTGCATTTTAAAAAAGGAAGTTATGCTGCCTCACCCTGTATAAGAGAGCTGCAGGCAAAATTCTGCTCTCTCCCCCCGCCCTCCCACTAACCTATTCCAGACATACATTTTTGCTGTGATCGCCCACCCTGAATGGCCAATCCATGACAAGTGGAGATCAGAAGGGGATCAGAGAAACATGTGTCTATACGCCATAACCAGACACAGAACATAGTAGATTATATCATCACTTGACATCCACTGGTGTCCTCTGGATTCCCTACCAGTGATGGAATGCTACCATAGCAAAATCCTGAGTCAGGAGGCAGCTTTGGTCTTTGCATACCGACCTCTGCAACAACTAAAAAAAGAAATAAATAAAAGTAATATGTCACTGGCAAGATGGCAGCCACTGATATTAAGAGAAGTAGATCATATGCAGGCCTTGGATGTAATTGTTCATAAATAAGTAATATTTATTTACTTGGAATTATCCCTTTCTTCTAAGAATAATGTATTACTATTGCAACTTGTTTTCTACTGTAGATGCAACCTTTAAAAATATTTTCAATACAAAGTTTCAGTCTTTCCAAACTGCAAAGGAGAATATGATTGGCTCCAGGAGTTGGTTAATGCTGCTGGCTCACCCAGCCACTCTGTGCTCTCTGCTGGGCATTTAGGTGGCAATAAGTTAAGACAGGAAAAATGTGTGGTTTGAATCGTTTGTAGCACTTTAGGTGTTTTTAAATAGCTTTTGGGTGACTATTTTAGATACTTTTGAGAAATAGAGATGTATTCTTTCTTTAAAATGTTGGAACTTCAGTGGTGATCAGGGTAGAGCATTGGACATACTTGGGAGATGTGCTGGAACACATGGATATCAATTTAAAGTCCAAAGTTGATACATGGAACATGGGGGAGCTCTGATGAAAACTATAACTTTTCACTATTATCTCTTAAAAAACAACTTTACTTGCTCTGAACACATCATACAGAGCATGGTTTTGTATAACCTGCTTCTATTGCATTTTTGAGCGAACAGGTTCCTGACAAAATCACATCTGTAGGAGAAATTTCCAAAGTATCTGTTTTGGTTTGGTAACTGAGCTGAAAATACATTCTTTGAAACTAATGTGCTTTTATTAGGAAGTTTGTATGCTTACATGTGCAAGTAAACATATTCCTAGAAAAGCTCTAAGTCAGCATTTCTCAACCTGAGGGTCGGGAACCTGGGGGGGGGGGGTTGGGGGGTTGGGAGGGGGTTTCAGAAGGGGTCGTCAAAGACCACCAGAAAACATATATTTCTGATGGTCTTAGGAATCCCTTTGGCAGAAAAGGCTGAAGATCACTCCACCTGTCCTTCTCTTCCTTGTTGGAAACAGATAGCGAATCCTCCCACCAAAAGCCCCCTTCCACTGTGATTGG